TGTTGCGGTGCTCTGGTCCGGCAGCCCTCCCGAGTGTTGCGGTGCTCTGGTCCGGCAGACCTCCCGAGTGTTGCGGTGCTCTGGTCCGGCAGACCTCCCGAGTGTTGCGGTGCTCTGGTCCGGCAGACCTCTCCTGAGTGCCACAGAGTCGTCTGGCGGCTGCCGGCCGAGGCGGGGCGCTCGCCTGCAGCCGGCCTCAACCCGCAGCCGACCGATGCTAATGGGAGACGACCCTCAATCACGCCCGAGGTCGGATCGCTGAGCTGTGTCGACAGCTCTAACGCGGCGGAGACGCGAACACGGCCGGCTCCGGCCACCCAGGTGCAGGGAAGGACTCGCCAACAGCAGCGGACGCACCCTGCCGCTGATGCTGATCGCCGGGGAAGGTTCTTTGGTGCAGGGGTTTGAGATCAGGAAGAACGTTGTCCCTTTGTGGGTTCGGGGGCTGAACCGTGGCGTTACCTGGACCGGCCAGTCAACGTGCGTGCATTACCAAAAGTAGTTTATCGTGCTTAAACATGACAAGCGAGATTTCTGTCGTATGCAAATATGCGGTGACAAGTTGTCTTTTTCCGTAACTTCGCCCCTTTCCCGAGCTATAGCACCAGCGTGTATGACAACTCTTACACTCCCCCTCCTCCTGCGGCCCGTCTCCCGGGGCCGGGAGACGCTGCATAGACGTCAAAGAGCAACGCGCGCATGCCCACTGCATACGCGATTTCAACCTATAAAAAGGCAGAGCTTCCGTGACCTATGGAACGGAATGCATGAAGTCTGATCTGTGCTATAAACGTCTGCGTTCACTTAATAATGCATGAGTGCCGTTAACGGCACTCAGCCGTCGATGTTTGTCTGTGGTTCGTGCTTTCGCTGAAGCTGTTATATAACCGACGGAACTGAAATCTTGGGACTCACATGCATACATGCATGAAGCTGTTATATAACCGACGAAACTGAGACCTTGGGACTCATGCATGCATGCGATGTCCACCCAGGGTCAGGTGTCGAAGGACCCACGCCACCAGGCGAGTGCGGTGAACGAAGGGCAAACACGTTTGTTGTGCATTATGAACTTTAAGGTGCCCCCCCCCCCCCACCGAAATCCATGATCTACCTGGTTTATAACTTTACGGAATGATGAGACGAGGCATTAGTGTCACGGTTAATCGTCCCCGCCTGGTGCGTTATCATGCACACAAGATAGTGTACAAATAATAGTGTGCAAAATAGTGCAAATACCAACATATCGGACGACGAGAGTCGTCCGAACTATGTCTCTACTCGTGATATTTTGTGTGCGTGGCCAGTAACAATGACGTAACCAGGAGACCAAGAGCCCAAACTGGGCGAAGCCCCATTTGAATGTCGCCAGCTAAACTGGACCGGACTAACGTACGAAACCTTTTTGATCGGATAATATGAACGGATGCGCGCTCTTAGGACCTCATCCAAGTTTTCAACACCCCAGACCTATACATAGACAAGGCATATGCGTTTCAATTAAGGCAAAGCGGAGCAAAAACACTTCCCTATGCATCATGTAAGGAAATCCATGTCCAACCCTCTCCAAACATGGTTTGATGAATACCCTCTGTTTACCCGGCACTGAACGGGGGTGCGTCAAATTTGCCCCTGTCCAATATACGTCATAATTTAAAGTGCCTTGAGATATCGTTGTAGAGCTTCTAGCAGCTGTTTATGAATGAGCTCTACGCCCCGAACCAAAACAACAAATATGAGACAATAATAGATAAAGCGTGGGTGACGTCGGAGTGGCGTCATGCTTCCCGATTTTTGACAAAGAGCATACCCGTAGACAAATTGACACAGGGACCGAACGAAAAAACACATCTGATATCTGTGAAAGAGAAATGTGAGCCGGTTAGTCCGTCATTAAGATGCCTTGTCATTGGTTTGTTTCAATATTGCCCATTGATATATTGCTACACCAAATAACAAAAATATCAATGAAAAGTGCACTCAACATTTCTTGGTCTCAAACTCAACATCATAAGTACATAAACTAAAATGTCTCAAATACGCCAATAAGGGATGTGTGTGCCAAGTTTCAAGCAATTATCGGCAACAATGACTGCGTGATGGCTTCAAACGCATCATAGCGCGTGTTGCCCGTGCCAGGCGGGCCCAGGTCCCCGCGGCGGGTGGCGAGGCTCAGGTATGCCGCGGCGGCATGGTGACAGGGCGGCGGAAGCCGTTCATCAGTTTTGCACGCAAACCGACGACCACGTGACTGGCGGTGGGGTTGAAGGGTATCAGATTGCGCTGTCGGTAGGACTGACCCGTCGAAAGGAGCGCGATGATCGGTCCCATGTGTAAATGGTCGCAAGATAGAAGAAATATATCGTTATCACTTTCACTGCAGTTTGAATATGATCGCATTAAAATGATCGCCTATTACAGAGCCGTCGAACGCTGTTGATGGCACTGAAATCGGGACAGGATTGTTCGAGTTATCGATTTCTGATGAATTTTACCTATAATGACCTTGACCCTTCTATATTTTTACTTTACCAGATCACACCTGCAAGCAGAATCGTTTCCAATTGCGCAATTGCATGATGCGTGGGCGCCTAGCTGGAAACTCTGGCTTGCCATTACAAATCACGCTATAATCGTGCATCCAACCACTTATTCGCCATCAAGGTCATCCACTTGACCTTAACCTTAGACGATTCATAAACAAGTGGCAACTTCTGCCTACGTGTCTGATGCCCACAATTGCAGCGAAGCTCTCCCACTTTGTGTTTAAATAAGTTAATTATGACGGAAATACAGAGGCCAAAACAGGCATAGAGACCAAGCACTCAGGTCTGACGCACGACTCGTGACCTTGGCTCTAAGTTTGGTGCGGTGCGCTTAACATTGGACACCTTCCTATGTAGTATGTTTGATCAGGACGCCATGATCTAACGCCATGAGATGCGCTTCTAAGTGAACTGTGTTTTTGGAACGGTCAGACGTTCTAAAGTAGCACTTTAGAACTTGACCTTGACCTATTACCTTGATGCACTCTTAAACTTAGGTTTGTTGTGTAGCCTGAGACTGGCGGTCGTCGACAGTTTAAAATTTTAAGATGGCTTCAAAGTTTTGCTTAAAATTGCTTAAAAATTTGTAATCTAGCTTAACTGTGTACGTGCATCGGGTGAGTGTATTTCATAATCGTACCACTGTTCGGACAGATTTTAGAGATGACAGTTCGCTGCAATTTGTAATTCGAATTCTACGCTGGGTAGGTTGGTGTTTTGATTCGGATTCAAAGTTGAATAAACTGGGATGAAGTTGAATATGTTAGAGTCTTTCTATTGCAATTAAAATACTTAAATGCCGTAGAATTTCCACTCCTAAACCGATTTCAGAGGTTTCTGATTAACTGTACTCATCGCTTCTGCCGTAGGTACATACTACATTTCTAACTAAAGCATGACAAGGTAGGCATGATGTCGCGCTCGTTCCCCTTGGATGCCTGCTTGCAGGCAGCATACATATCTGACTAATCAGTCAGCTTATAATCGAGCCAGGCGTAAAACGCTTGCTGGGGTAAGCTTTGATACATGAATGCACGTTTAATCCGACAGGCGCTGGCCCCATGGTTCACCTTACACTTGCTAAGGCAGAGCCTCAACACGCTCGTGTTTGAGGACCTCTGTGCATAACGCGCATTGTAGAAGGGGTGGGGTGTGCAATCCACTCTTCCCTCTCTCAGAAAACGCCAAGGGAATTGACACAACACCTGCGAAGCATGCAATTGAAAAATGAGGATTTCAGGGACATATGCTTGCGGCACCTGATGTATTTGAAAAAACCTGAGCCTGGAGAACGTTTCAATGCATGTATTTCCATATTCCAGTGATGAGTTTTAGGATCAAGCAGTTGCTTTGAGAACTCGAATTCTCATTTTCCGGGTTCGAACTCCGTTTTCAGATTCGAGATTCGCAAGCTCTAAGCCTGTTGGAGTCTGTTCGAATCCGTAAATCGGAGCCCTGAGCTCTCTTTTACACCCAATTTCTATAATTTCCTGGTCAGTTTTCCGGTCGTGGCGACCCCAGCACACTTAAACTAAGCGTCTGATGATATTCCGTGAAACGCTTACATTCTATTTGTAACTTTTATACCGAGAGCGGTGTAAGAGGCTTCAAGCTGATTTATGAACGGATTCATAATATATTTAGTTTGATGAGTGGGGACAAATCACGCATACTAAAACTTGGATGCATAACAGAGGTTACAGGCGCCAGCCCAGATAAATGCCATTCCCAGTATACCTTCTCGAGCGTCTTGCGAACAGACGTGTTGCTAGCTCACATCGTTACCGCGCCCATCTCCCTGGAAAATCTGCACCCCGAATATCGTTTTGTCTCCAGGCAACTTCGCTGTGAAAGTTTGTGGTTTTGCGTCCCAACATCAATGCAGATACCAACAGGATATTCCTAATAGGGAAGGGGGCAGGAGGCACGCTTGCCCCCATCTTTTAGACTGGGGAGCACAGCGCCACCCCTCCCTCAGCTTTGACAGAGCCACTCTTAAGGAGGAGGGCAAGAAATGGAAAACAATATGCGACAGATTTGATGAATATAGGGTCGTTGTTTTTTTAAAGAATAGGACATTTTTAAGGTGTCGAGTATAAGCCTAGCTCATTATTTACCACCAACTTCACAAATTCATGGCACCGCACGAACATAGCGGGCATTCCAGCCATTCAGATTTCCAAGTGCTAAGACCGCATAGGCGGCGCTGCGCTTAAGACCGCCCGAAGTACAGGCGGCTAAGGCGAACGTTTCAACGATACGTTCCGAGCATAGATAAAAAAGCTCGCAAAAATTACTCAGCTTTTTCAGCAGGGCCAAGAATTATCATGGAGAACTTGCTCTCGTTATCGAGCGAAGCCGAGACTTGCGTGGGGAGGTTGCCTGCTTGCCTGGCAGGCCTCAAGCTCGCGGCGGCGGAAGCATGTCCCGCGCGCTGATCGGGGCCAGACTCACCATCGAGAATCGGCTCTGCTTGTCAAGCAGGGCGGACACCGCGAACGAGACGATGCAGCTGGCGCACAGCGAGAGGTAGGTGTTGATGACGGCGCGGTTCTGGTCGTCGCCCTGGGCCAGCGCCGAGTTGAAGCTGGGCCAGAAGCACCAGAGAAACACAGTTCCTGCCGGTCACCCAGAAACAGCTGTAACGAGCCGCAGAGCACAGAACGCGTGGATTGAGACGAGGGTCGCGGTTGGAACAAGGAATAAACGAGCACGGTCGAGTGAATTATGCACGGGTGTGGAGCCAAGCAGCTTCATTAGCCGACAAATCAGGTCCGGAGTGGAACTGTTTTGGCACTGAGCTCGACAGATTAGAATCGCTTCACAAAAGCAAGTCTGTGTATCTCCCCGAGCTTACATCTCGTGCATGCCATAGCCGTAGCACGCGCGACTTTTTCAATGCTCACACGGGTAGGTATTTTGAACAATGCTATTCCAAATATTAGTCTGGGAAATGACATGCGTTTATATATATATATATATATATATATATATATATATATATATATATATATATATATATATATATAGCCGCTTGCGTCTGTCCACTCCCCCAGATATGGCTGTGCCGGCGTGACTTCATTGGTGACGAGTCTCACCGATCATTGAGAACAGGTCCGAGATGGTGTTGGAGGCAGCGTTGTCGCTATCGCTGTCCTTTCTGTACAGCACGAAGCTGACAGCCAGGCCAAAGTAAGCTCCGAAGGTATGAACGAATATGGAATCGCCCATGTCAGATACCTGGTCGACAAGGATGGCGTAGACGAGCAGCAGGCCAACTGGGAGAGCCTACTGTTCACCAGTAATCTTCCCAAAGGTTTGGGAACTGTTCAAAGCCACGTAATTCGTTTGAGCAAAATGTGATTGGCAGCAGAATGGGCGGCTGCATCGCATAATCATGTATGGGAGATAGACATATGGCACATACGATTGAAACCGGACAGCAACACAGAGTTCTGTAAAAACGCGGCACTGGGGACCAAATGCGTATTATTGGCTACACGTGCAAATGCAAATTGGCAACACAAATATCAACATAGAGCAAAACAGTAACGGCAATATACATCACATCTCAAACGCGGTTCTGTATTCGTTTGCGATGCATCAGTAGCATGCCATATGTGAATAAAACCTAAAGAAACATCGCACTTACCTGGAGGTACTTCCGACCAATGATTTCATTCACGACAAAAATGGGCACCTGCAAAGGAAAGATGCTTTAAAAACGCGAGCCTCAATGGTTTGATGGCCTGACTCCAGTCAATCCATTCAGAAACCAGACGTGATTCAGAGAGCTAATGGTAACCCGTGTATATCATTATATCATTATCATCATATCAATCTTAATATCATTCGGTGGCGCGCATCAGTGATGACCGTATGGCGTATCACGCCCGCATTATCATCAATGACTATCCTGAACCGGCACTGACTCGCATTCACCAGATTCATAGGAGACATTTGCACAGCGCGACGGTTATCAGTGTGACCAGCACAAGTATCGGATGTCCCACCTCTATGAGAGCCATCAGGAGCAGCTGAGTGGGCGTCGTCTTGCCCAGCACTACGCCGAACGAGATGAGTACACAGGCTGCGGTGAAATCGGCCCCCAGCAGGCTGCAAACAACAGTCAGACGCGTTGGACCAGCACTATGTGACAGTGACGTAGACGTCAGAGCCCGATCTCACAAGGTACCACGGGAGCAACATGACTCAGACGAGCGTGCTGAAATAGTGACGAAGTGGTTTATTCGAACCACACGACGCGTCATTGACAGCCGGTTTCGGGGCTGTTTTCCTATCCGCTTCATCAGTGTGCTCAGTCAGGGAGATTTCCTGCCCCTGCTACTTTCAGGAGCAGCCACAGGGAATCTCCACAACGACAGGAAATTCCCACAGCTCCACACAACGCAAATAACTGGTGCATCTCTGACAGGCGTTGGCTCCTCACATAGGATGTGGTCGTCTTGAATGGGTCAAAAATCTGAAGCAGCATTTAGGCAGCCGAGATTTCGTGCACCATTCTGCAGTGGACCCAGCTCGGTTTAATCATTCACGGCCACTGCGCTGGCGCTGCGCATGTGCCCAGCTGACCTGACGACGTCGATCTCGATCTTGCCGTCGTGCAGGTGGAAGAAGCCGTTGACGAGCAAAGCCCACTGCAGCACCACGGCCGCGATCAAGAAGTTGATGCTGACCGCGCTGAGTCCGTAGCGCTTCAGGAACGTCATCAGGAAGCCGAAGCCGACGAAGATCATGATGTGGACATCCTGGAACACTGGTGGGGGGGGGGGGGGACGTTTTGTGATTGACACTGCGAGATCGCTTCAGAGACATTGCCGACCAGCGAGACAAAGCGGGGACGCTCCGTAAGCAGTTGGCGTCAGTTGAAAATAAATGGGCAGTGTATTGGAGATGACGATTACGGTATTGTCTAGAACTTCCTCGGCGCCGAGAGAGGCGGCAGAGCAGCTTGAGGCACCGAACTCCCCATCAAGTGACACGAGAGAGCACGTCAGTGGTTTCATTCATTGCCCAATATTGTCCAAACTGTCTGCTGCGGGAGCCAGCTGCCGGCTTTCACAATATACACTTCGTGGAAGCAAAACCGTCTCGTTTGCCTGCTTTCCGCATTATAAGTTGCAAGTTACAATGCTGAAAGGCTTGCCGTGCAGCATACTTGAATACAGAGGCGTCCTTCGTCTCTATTTGAAATCTGAAGGCTGACCTGAAAAGCGGCTAAGGTCCATCCACAAAATGCGTTACGCATGCTTCGCCATTTTCAACACCACATCCCTTCCGCCTGGTTCCGCACTGGTTAAGGTGCCTAGACCCACATCTCCCCTGGTGACATCGCGTTAAGCGCTGTGTCCCGACAGGTAACGTCCGTTTGGCCCCTAATTGAGCTAAAAGTGAGAAACCGTGACGTGCGTGTGGCTTGTTATGACAGGACACCAACGGTGAGGTGTTAGAGCATTTGCGAGGAACATTGCGGATGTATATGGGACAGTGCTAATGGTCTTATTCTTGGAAGAATAACCAGGAGAATCGAGTGATAGATGCATTGATATTTTGGCTACACGTCTTCATCGAAACGCATACCAATAGGCTTTTATCAGTTTATCCAAACGAGTATCGCTACTGATATTCGTCTCGATGAAGCCGTGCGGCCTAAATATCAATACATCTATAGTTTCATTCTTCTGGCTATTATTCGAGGAATAAAGCTGCTAGCACTATCTTATTTAGAAGCTAACGGCATATAACTTTGAAGTTTTGAAAACGTGACAGCAAATATCTAGACATTATTTGCAGCCACACCTGAGCTTAACTGTACGCTGTCCAGCACCCTCCCCTTCGGTTGCGCTCCATCGACCCCCTCCCCTTCCCCTCTGCATGCATAACGTAATATATGGACAGCCCCAAAAGCATATCCCAAAAAATAAAGAAGGTGATTTCCGCTCGTATTTGTCACCTCCCTTCTAAAAAGTAAAAAGTCTGGAACGCTGAACTGAATCAGAAACTATACTGCTGTTAGGAAGTGCAGACTGAATTATACTTTTATTGTTTAAAAATCGATTTGAAAAGATTAAATCCGAGCTTTACGAGTGGATGGATTTCTGGGATCAGAGCTCACCATAAGCGGTGCTTTCTATATTAACCCTTATCCCTGTCATCCGATCAGGCATTCCAGGTCAACGGCAGCATTTCGTAATAAATGTTTAACGTGCGCGATACTAGGTACGGGCGTTCCTGCCGCTGATGTCATCCGACCTTCAGCGTGGCCGCTGCCGCCGGCCGCGGGCCCAGTCAAGGTCAAGTGGCGAGCACCCAAAGCGACTTAAATCCAACCGGCCACGGGCGCGTGTATCGGAAGGCAGGCACTCTTACCACCTAAGCTATCGGAGCGGGATCGATTGAGTTCAGGAAACTCGACGTTTTAAAGCGGCGCTCACGGTTGCCATGAGCACAGCTTTGAAGCGTCGTGTCGATGTGATAAAGATCCCCAGTAGCCCTACGGTTTTGCTTCATCTTAGCGTTTCGTATCCAGCGATGTAAAATGTATCACAGCTGTCAGCCAGGCGCGCTGATACAACTCATAATTTTCAAGTATGAGTTATCAGATAGTGACAAATGCCATGAATGGTAGCACAGTTTATCCTTTTCGCAAGATGCAGCGTCTAATGACATTTATCTAGCAGGTACCGCAATCAAACACGTCATATTTGCCAGTGTACCTGATGTCAAGTACTGTTGATGTAGCTAATTGCATCGGAATTACATCGATAATGCACTCCAGCATGCCACGTTGATTCGGCCTCCACCCTTTCGCCAGACCTGAATGCGGAGGGTTGTACGTGCCGCTCAATGTTGCGACGTGGCCGCTCCGGGCCAGGGTTGACTCTGGTTGGCCAGGTGCCAGCTAACGTTTTCATTTCAGTCGGGCCCAACAATAAAATTCAAACTCGCACCCAGTACTCGTACCCAGTACACGTACTCCTTAGAACTCGTACTCGGTGCCGCTGGATTACGAGTCCGGAGTTTTTCCTCAAGACCACGGAGACGGTACGTCGTCGGTATCAATGTTTCCCTAAAAATGATTTGAGCCGAAAAGAAACAAAACTAGCTTTTACGCGAGGTAAGACGATAATGCATTGCTTCGCTTCTATTGATAAAATCGTGGAAATATTGCGGAGCGCTATGGAGACATGCTAATGGCCCTTTAATGAGTTTTGTTTCAAACGATGTCCAAACTTCGTAGCGGTTCTCAATCATGAACTAGGCTTCGAGCAGCTGGGCCACCGGCGGCCACTTCTCCTTTACCGAAAATAACAGCAGTCAGTATTACACGCGCACTTTGCCTATGCTCAAACTAAATAAAACCCGGTCTAGCGTCCCCACAGCTTTTCAAAACATCTCGCTCTCTCTTTTCCCTTTCTTTTCCTTTTCCCCATTCTATCTCCCTCTCCCCTCTCTCTCTCCCTCCCTTATTTCTTCCCTGCCTCCCTTTGCGGAAAATGACAGTGGTTGATATCACCGGTGCACTTTGCTTATGCTCACATTAAATAAAAGCCCGGCCTAGCGTTCCCACAGATATTCAAAACATCTTGCTCTCCCTTTTCCCTTTCTTTTTCTCTACCTTATTCTATCTCCCTCTCCCGCTCTCTCTCCCTCCCTTATTTCTTCCCCACCTCCCTCTGCCAGGTCCTTGCATACAGAGTCCAAGCGACCAGCGTAGTGACTGTTCCTAATCACGATTGATGGCCGGTGAGAACGTCATACGAGCTTAGAACTGCACTGTCATGAGCCAGAGTGATCGCTTTCGTTCAATTGGCCACGGATCGATTCGAGAACCCCGTTCAAATGGAGGGCAGCGGAAGGTCGCAGTGATGCGTGAACTAGTCGCGCCAATCAGCTCGTGCTCAATGGCGGAGCTTAAATGTGGCGTTAAAAAGTCCTTGGAGGTCGTGCTGGTACCCAAGAGCAATTTCTTCTAGTCATCACTTTTTACCAGTCAGGTGCCATTAATTGAGATCAAATGTGGGATATAAAAATCGCTAGACGTCTCGCTGGGATTGAAGGGCAACTCGTTCTCGTCCTGGTGTCAATCTGTCAAGCCCTAAGCCTCATATGAAAGTTTAAGAATACTGGAAGGGGAAGCCTCGGGACACTCAACGATCATGGATTAGTTACAGTAGACAGTTTGCAAAAGTTGGTAAACAAGTTACGGTAACAAAACTTGATGTGTAAGTGGTGTTAGATCGAGCAATTTCGATCTCATCTACCACAACTGCGCATACTTTGTAACATTGTGTAACCGCCATGCCACGCTAAAGACCAGGTTTGGTGGGGCTGGTGACAGCGCAGGGCACAGCTCTCGGCGGACTGGACTTCGCACGCGACGGCCATCTTCTAGTCCAGCTGTCTATCCTGGCTCGACTTGACACCGCTCTTCGGGCGGTAGCGAACTACTCCAGCGAACGGGCGCCGATAGTGCTGCCACCTGGGCCGCCCGACTCCCCGGCGCGCCTGACACACCTCCACTGTTTTCATAACGCAAGTCACTGCGTTTCCAAGGTGCCAGGATGAGAAGGCTCTGCGCTTAAAACCTGATTTGATAGAATGTCCGCACCGAACTGGTATTTTCTCACCTTCGCAGAACGACGCGAGGTCCTGTCTACAGTGGGAGTATGCATTAAGGTGTCCCTGTATAGCACTTCATTGTAAAGGTATGGGGGCTCGGGACTAATCTAGTTCTCCGCGTTAAGGCGAAATCAGAAGTGCCATTTTTCAAAATCATTGTGGGTTTAGGGGGGTGCGCAAAGGGAAGTTCATGAGGGAGCAAAAATGGATAATTATAAGTATTTCCGCTCTGATGGCCAGCGTGACATTATAGACATGCAGATAAACATATAAACCCCGTGAGAGTAAGGGCATTAGCCCGGCCCTCGTACATAAAATTATTACTTCTCAATGAACTGAAACCTGCTTCATGTTCAGGTAAAACAAAACAACATAAAACCAGCCTGGTAACAGAGCGCCAAGAAAACTGCCGGAGCTCTAAAATTATGCATATCCCCAAAGCATTCATTAATTTTGACAAGCAAGACGCTACTGAGCTCGCCTTGAGCTGAAGAGCCAGATAAGTTCTGAGCACCCATACTTTCACAGAAGTGTTATTCTGGGGCATCCTAGCAGGCATCCTGGATCCAAGCTGAGAACGTTATCGCGTAGTTCGTCGAAACGGCGCCAGGTTAGTCTCATTTAGCATCAGCGCAGGTGACCCACGGTGGGTCGGGCCAGGTCGACGTGGAACCTTTGGGAGTTCCGGCTACCTTGCAGTACTTAGAACCATGCGAACAACAACAGCTTGGACATCGGTGTTGAATGAGTGGATCCTGACGCATTCCATCATGCATTCATCAGGAGGCATGATCCTAGGAATTGGTCATACGAGTAAATCCCTGTGACCTCTTCTTATCACAGCTAAACATGGTCCGGCAGTAACAACAAATGACGCTGAAAAGTGCAAGTCAGTCACACCCTGCACCAGATATAAAGAAGCATGTCTAAAGACACGCCAAACCAGGTCATCAAAAGCTAAAAGTGCTTTTACGAAATGGTTTTCATCTAACTTGCTCTGTGCCTACCCGATATCACCAGGATAAATTACATTTTATAAGACTTTATCGTCGCTTAGTGTGGCAAGATGAAGCAAATCAATGCAGAAAACCCCTTTAGAGCGCATATCCTACGACAAACGATGGTCGCCGAGTGCCTTAACGTGCATCGAGACTGACATGGCCTCGGCAAAGACGTCATCACTCGTGATCATGACAGATAGAACCTTCAAACAATCCCGAAATCTACAAGACCGCTGAGCTCTCAACTGAAAAAAATCGGAGCCCCACGCACGATCTCTGAAGTTGTTCCCAGAGAGGCTTGAGAAGGTGTCTGAGGCCAGGCGCCCGCCCGGGCTAAAGGTGCCCCGCCAAAAGCGCGCCCGCTGAAGGTCCGCGTAATGGACACATCATCGATTCTTCATCATTATGCGATGTCGCCCCCGGAACTTTTCTTATCATCATGCATCATCATCACTACGTCGGAGCTTTTCTCATCATCATGCATCATCATCATTACGTCGGAGCTTTTTACGTTTTGGGTGTTTCGTCGTCGATTTGATGTAAGTATAATCGCAGAAACAGCCCCCAGCCTGCTTACCGTTCTTGTATCCGGCAATATCGTTGCTGTTCGTAGACACGCGTACCATGAACTATTGGCACACACTATTGCTCGGACGTTTGGTGACTGGAGCGGAAACAAGCAGGCCTAATTCCAGTGTTTGTATCTGTATTTTATTTGTTTAAATAGGTTAGCGGTAATTTTGTGTCGATCCCTGCGGTTAATAGGCCGAATCGGTTGGGAAAAAATAACATGCGATTCCGATAAGAAATAGCACGGTTTTAGACACAATATTTGATACGCGTACATATATCTGTACATATATGTATATGCATATATATATATATATATATATATATATATATATATATACCTTTAATTTAGAAAGCAGATCATTCTCTATGCACGTTTTGCTTAGAATCGCACCGAGCTCGGTATCGTTCATTCAGTGGTAGTTGAACGTTAAAAACCATGGCATTAACTCCGCTTCTAGCGTTTCGGGGGCGCGTAAAATCATTCTGTTCCGAACAGCGTTTTCATGAAAAGGAGTGTCAAGTTCAATAAGAGAAACGTAAGTCCTTTTGTCATGTGAAGTCATGAAAGTGCGTGACTTATGAGTACCACTGTAATCACGACACTGCAAACCACATTACCACACCTCACGGCTAATGCTATATGTTGGTAACGTTTTCCACATCAAGTGCACCTGCCTGCCCAAGTCCATAGAATATTACAGTAGCTCACACATGGCAGGACTGCTCCGGTCTCGATCGTAAACGAGAGCCGTCATCAAGTTGAATGGTGCCTCTCACGCTCACTTGTTTAGTAGTCGTCAGATCCCATCAGTCAAGAAAGATTTAGATGCTGCTAGACTGCTCGTGTGACGTAGTCGCAATCAGATTGTTATGATAGATGCGGAGAATCCGTACATAGAGAAATGTCTTCTCGGTGATTGCCTTAAACTATAGCTGTGTGCAGTGGCGCAGGTCGTCACGCTGGGCATCTGGAGACTGGATCGCCCAGAGGACTGAGAACTGCGGCAGAAAACTCCCTCACGATCGGTTTGGACACTCACTGCCGTATATCCTGGGCAGCAGCGCCGCCGGCCCGTCGCTGACGCCGGGCTTGGTGGTCGCATAGTTGGCGAACACTCCGAACAAGATGACGAACAGCAGCTGCAGCCCGACGATGACGTACGGGTGCGGTGCGCGGCCGCTCATCGAGCGAGCCATGACTGCTCCACACGCGCGCGCGCTGCTGCCGCCGCCGCCGACGCGTGCCGACTGGCACCCGTCAGGACGGAGGCAGGACCGGCGGGCGGGCGGGCGGGACGCGGAGCTCTCCCGTCGGCGGCGGTGGTGGCGGCTCCGCCGTCTGGTGGCTCCCGCCCAGCTCGTGAGCGGATGTACAACGTCACAGCTGACAGAGCGCGTTCAGCTGGGATTTGGCCGGAGTGGCTGTCGTCGGTGGGGTGGGGCAGGGGCAGGAACCACGCGGGGTCCTAGGCTCCCCCCATGGCCCTCCGGGCTCTGACGAATCCTGTGATTTGTACGTCGGTCCGGCTGTTGGCGTAACTACTAGCTAAAAAAAAAAAACTGTTCGATAAACCTACTACGCACTTCACATTTCCACCATGGGGATACAAATAATGATGTCAGGAATATTGGTCCCTCATTCCTCCCATTCATAAAATATTGACACTGGGACGCATTTAGTTTGTCTATCTCTAACGTAGACAATTCCGCTCGGTACAACTGATGTCCAACTATGCTGCCAGCCTTTCCTGGAAAGCGGACGGCATGGCTAAGCACAGAGAATGTCAAATTCTAAAGACCTTCTGAGCTTGGAAATTGCCGAGCTCTAATAAGAAACAGCGCCCATCTCCCGAAAATCGAACTGAAAAGCAAGCAACTGGGCGCCAAACGACCAAGCAGTCGGTGCGCCCTAAGTCACATCATCAAAGGGCATCATAAAATATCTGTCTCTGTAGTTTTGGGGCGTGACCTGACCCATCTAGCCCGTCCTCCCATTCCTTCCCCAGAAAGCGAGCCGACACAAGCCGTCGACCGTCGACAGTGTAGCCCGGCGGACTACATGGCCGGCTGCTGCTTCTACCCGGACGGACGAGGAGCAAAAACTGCGACACATTCCGCACGCATTCGCCTGGCAACGGGTGCCTAAACCCTCGCTTACTGGTGCTGGCCGCTATTGGAATGTATGGTGAGTAGTTTTGACACAAGAAAAGTGAATAATGAGGGACAAAGCAGTGCTGTTCTTCTGTGAGTCTTCATGGATTTCGCTGCGTTTTACTTTTTCGGCTAACATGGGGCGAACATTTGCGAAGATATCACGAAATCACGTCAAGGTGAGCTTGCACATCAGCCAGCAACGAAGAGCGTGCCCTATTCTTCCAGTGTCTACCCTTCATCTCCGAAACACATTGTGAGACCACGTTTCTTCGCCAGTTCAGGTAAGACTGCCTCCCTGGGAGGTTCGCGTGCGCGGAGTGCAGAGACCGCTGCAGCCTGGGCGGCTATGCCGGACGAAAATGCCTCGCTGCGGCTCGTGCCGATTTGTGATAGAATGTGCCGAAGAACGCGAGCCACCGCTCTGTCGAGCCAACCTCACCTCTGTCTTAATACTGCCGCGGCTCACGTGCTCTGCCCCATTCTGGGACATATCTTACAACTTAACGCAATGGACATCAATCAGGTCCGAAATACAGGTATGGGCGTGGAGCACGTGACACGGGCAGAGCGGCTGCGCGGCGGCGTACGTCCGCCAGCAAGAAGTCACTTTGACCGTTCATTCCTCCCTGTTGTCGCCGCTACCAAGGTCAGAGCGTCGCTGACCCGGTAATGGCGACGATGCTGTAGACGGGCCTCTGGGCCCCACGGGTGTTGCGCAGTTCTAGAAAGCTCTGCATGCATGCGAAATTAACGGCGTAGATTTCTTCGCTAGATATGTCACATATCTGCATAAATTAGCTATCTTTTGCAGGGCAGTGTGCCGCGGCCATCGTCAGAGCCCAAACATCCACGTTCATCGCCATTATGTGGACGCTAATGTGTTTTTTAGCATTATGCCGCTGGCTTCATGTTATGAAGTCTGTCGGCTATCTGTCCTCTGCTTTTTCTTGCTGAAACGCGCTTGTTTCTCTGAACTCTTTCTGTGACGCTGTCAAGTCAATTACTATTATTGAGCAATACCCGTTGTTAGTCGAAGCCTCACGAATCAAATTGAATTCAGTTACTTGGATCTTAGCGATCTCATTTCACTGTGTCAGCATGACTTTAAATCCTTCAAAAGCGTTCATTGTGCACATGCTAATCTTCATCCTCGTCTTACAATATATGATGGTCCGTATCGTGGTCCGGGACTGAGTTGCATGGCTAGTAATACACACACTCAATGTGATAGTGGCAAGGCAATTACTCGACCCTCACCATCCTGCTCCGGAGAGAGTGTGGCACCAATGCTATCGTCAGAGTCGTCCGTGTCCATCCTAAATCTGTCAGTGTCAGCCGAAAATCTCAGGAGCGAGACAGCGGGAGCACTAGACAGCGCACGCTTCAGCTGGTCAAACGTGCTGGCCGCCCTTTGTTCGCCCCTGCACAATGGGCTATGAACAGGTCTCATTTGACGCCTCGATAATTCCCTCGTCAACGGGCTCTCCGATCTGCGCCTTTACCTCAGCTGCAAGGCGTGGCGGCACACGCCTAGGGGCCTGTCTAATAGGCGGGTGGTTGCCAGTATCAGTGCCTTAATTGAACACGTCCGTCAAACCGATATGGCCGCCAAACATGCCCGCATACCGGGGCAACAGCTCATGAACCCTTCGGCGCTGGTCATCTGTAAGGAAGCATTGGTCCAACTTCGGCAATTTTCCCGCGTCGACTTCAGTAAGCCTTTGCCCGCCGGCGCCTCTTCAACAGAACTCATTTCAAGAAGCAATGTTGCGTTGTTTGTGCGCTGTGACCGACTCAACAGTCACGTTCCGCAGCATCACGGGAACACGGGCACAGTCAACGTTCCCGACAGCACGCACCACTTCAACACCACATGCACCCCTCTCCGGGCTCGATTAGTGCGGGGCCCATGTAACCCTAATCGGGTCTGTAACCCCTCAACACCACCTCGCCGCCGGCGGCACCACCCGGCCACAGCACGACGAGACAAGACCGAGACAAACAGCTTGTGGCGAAACTGAGCGAACAGAAGCGGTGGCTGCCAACACACGGCGCAGTGCACTCGGAGCTACAACGCACGGGCGAAGCTGCGCAAAAACAACGCCGCATATGCACGGCACGTGAACTGTGTCAGACGCGAAGAGAGGCGGGGACGCGTCAGACCATCAACATGGCCGAACAATTCTTCCTAGCAATGGGAAAGCCTCTGCAAACGCTGGCCGTGCCGGCCCACCGGTCGGGAGAAGATTAGAAGCCCAACCGCGCAAAATATTAATACAGCTGCCAGCGTCAAGGAGACATTCACGCTCGACACCTGCCGCGCGTCCAGTCATCCTCGTTGTGTCCGTGATGGGACCTGTCTTGTCATCTGGTTTTACTGAATCTGATCGCCGACCCACCGCGAGCGAGTGGAACCGTCACCGTGTCCCTGGGAGCTCTGTGGACACACCTTGGCAACGTGCCCATTTCCCCCGCGCTCAAAACACGCACGGCTACGCAGGCAGCACCGGCTGCAGACGTGTCCGGCGCGGCCACAGCAGAAACTTGCGGCTCCTCAATAGCCCGTCACCAAAAATAAACTAGAAATAACCAAAGCGGACGCTTGTACCAAATTGGATGCGTCAGGACCAAAATGAGCATTTCATTACCGATTGGATTGTTTCCACCAATGCGAACACCTTCACCATTAGCTAAACGAAGTCGTTACCCTTAATGCCTCCTGAAGTCATCAAATACACGAAGGAAATATTCAGAAGAAACATTATCCACGAAGTTGGCTGAGGTGCCACCAAATGTGTGAAACAAATCACCAAGATGTAGTAGGAAATCGTTAGTTTGTGCCGGAGTCCAGAATGTTTAAGCCCACCAGCAAAAACGCTCATACTTTTAACCAAACTGGCATCAAATTGCGAATGTGTTGAGAGTTGGGGCGCAGGTGCCATTATATGCACTGGAGTTGCGTTCTGCGAACGAATCACTGACTAGCATTGCGTTTCGTACACAACTCAACATCCAGGGGCGCAGGCGGATGATTTAGGCGGGGTGTTTGGAGGGGGGGGGGAGGGGGGAAGGCAAAGGGAACATATTATGCTAGGCCCTGAGTAGCCTTCGGGGCCCCAAGCGCAAACTATTAAGAGCCCGATTGGAGGGCCCGAAGGGCTGACCGGAGACAACCCCGGTGCAAAGGCCTGGACCTTAAAGGTCAGCCAAAGGGGCTCGATGCGCCTGTCTTGGTCCCCGGAACCACGAAGACGTCTATGTAGGTCTGAGACTACCAATGCTGAGCAGCTGGCCCAAAGTAGGCCTGAACCCTGGAGGCTCAATTACGAATCAGGGAGAAGGCCGGTGTCCACGATTGCTACTTAAGGCCTTCTGCGTTGGCCGGACCCATGAAACAAGGTGGCTTACTGTGTTAAGGCAGAGCGCTCAACAGGGTCGAGCCAATGTCGGCAATGGCTTCTAGTCGACCAGAGGCACATTTTGCTGAAGAGGAAAACGACAGGATCTTGAAATGTCAGAGAACAGTTGCGTTGGTCAAGTCGCTCTTGCCTGACATGGGATGGAAATACGAGAAATGACAATGAAATGGTCCAAAATGAGACAATAGAAGGAGTTGGCCAGTTACAGACTCTGGCACCGAACAGGGCGTTTCAGAGTCTCTGGCCCGGGTCCTAAACGGATCCAAGGCCCCATTTGAGCTGGGATCCCGGTAACCCTAACTGTGATCCATTTACGCGCCTGAGTGGTGTGTTTTTTGGCTGTCATAGCCGTCTTTAAAACATTCCTGATTTGATGCTATTGAGATCAGAGCTCACGCAAAGCAGAATTGTTGTGTGCTCTAGGACCCCGCCTTCCTGTTGTGAAATTCCAGTTCTACCGCAAAACGTTGTGGAAAAAGCTGCATGCACCGTAAGGTATGGCACGGTCCCCTGCCCTTTGACCTCCCCGACATTGCCTCCGGCCGCAGACCATCCAAGGCAGAAATCAGACAGTGAACGCACATAGACGCGGCCTAGACAGAGAATGCGGGGGCCCACCCCACCCCGCTGTAACCCGCACGTGATGAGTTCTCACTGGAT